TAACCTTAATGTCCAAGAAATTCACAGAAGTGGTGGAAATCAAGAAGGTGAACCCTTAGGGGAATTATAGGTGCTGATGAAATGAAAGAATAGGTTGGGTTCATTTCTTGACATTTCAGTAAAACCAACGCCATCATCTGTGTACCTCTTACGTACTTGAGGAGGCTATCCTGTGCATGTAGACCAAACTTGAAGCTCAAGGAAACACTCCGAAAAAGCATGCATAACTCAGACCCATTTTGGTTCCAATCGCGACAAGACTAATTTGGTTAAAATACTCGCCGTAAACTTAAAAGAGTTAGTACTGATGCCGCAGTGCGGACACGAACCCTAGTAGAGATGTCCGGGTTTGTCCTTTTGTGTCACCATGATTCATCGACTGCCTGTAGGCTCTGTAACGCAGAAAGTGTTTCAAAAATCATCTCCTGCATTCCCCGTTTTAGCATTGGGTCAACCTTTGTGCTACTCCCTGTAAACACACCTTAATATGTTGCTGTTTCTTTTAAAATGAGTAAACTTCTGAAGGGACTGGACTGATACATAGATTTCTTTCGCAACCCAACATATACTTTCATACCGGTTCTCTATCTTTTTTTATTGCAAATATTTGCGTTTAAAACTGTCGTTGAAGTTTTGTCATCAGCTCACATCCTTTCCAAAACAGGAGTGTCCCGTCTTTTACTGTTGCCTAAGACACACATTTGTTAGTGACTGAACACTGCCAGTATTCTTTAACGCACATTCTTTTGTCGAGATCGACCTATTGAAACTAACTAATTTCTCGCTATTTGAGCTTCACAGGATAAATTTAGGATCAACACGGCTCTTTTCTCAACGGTCACAAGATGACTCTATGCATCATGCGATGATAAGCTTTGCTCTCTTATCCATTGGTCAGTACTTAAACTTGACAATGACATAATTATGTTAATCGCATGTAACAGGTAATTCTCTCATTTGCGGTAACTTAGAGTTTAAATGAATTCCGTGTACATATATATATATTATTTGTATGTATGTTTCCGTGTTTGCTGTGTGGAAACATGTCCAGTCGCACTGATCAGCCACTGCTCAAAGTTTACCAACTGTATGTTGATAATTTAGTGTGGAATGCTGGACGTGCCGTTTCGTTCGTTACAATTATGGTGTGGTTTTATGTGCGATGTATTACGTGCCCTTGTATATTATGGTCTCCTTTTTACATGTATATCACAAATGTCTCAAATTCTTAAGCGTGTGTTGTGTTGGAGTTCGCTTTAGTGATTCTGAGCTTAGGTTGTCACAACCTTGAGGGCTATCACAATGTCCGCCTGACCTCGTTAATTTAGGAGTTCACAACATTAACTCAGCGGAAACTGATTTCTCTTTGAGACATTGAAACCTTTATGTTAACACACTGACTATATGACTGTGATGAGACACATTAAACTCTATGTCATTTCAGTAACTACATGACCGTAATGAGACATAGTAATCTCAAGGTCAATATACTGTCTACACGACTGTAATGTGACACAACAAACTCAAGATCACTGCAGTAGCTAGGTCAATATACTGCCTACACGACTGTAATGTGACATTTTAAACTCTATGTCAATATACTGACTACATGACTGTAATGAGACAAAGTAAACTATTAGGCCAATACACTGACTACATGACTGCAAAGAGACACAGTAAACTGTAGGTCGGTACGCTGACTACATGACTGCAAAGAGACACAGTAAACTGTAGGTCGGTACACTGACTACATGACTCCAAAGAGGCCCAGTAAACTATAGGTCGGTACACTGACTACATGACTGCAAAGAGGCCCAGTAAACTGTAGGTTGGTACATTGACTACATGACTGCAAAGAGGCCCAGTAAACTATAGGTCGGTACACTGACTACATGACTGCAAAGAGACACAGTAAACTGTAGGTCGGTACACTGACTACATGACTGCAAAGAGGCCCAGTAAACTGTAGGTCGGTACACTGACTACATGACTCCAAAGAGGCCCAGTAAACTATAGGTCGGTACACTGACTACATGACTGCAAAGAGACACAGTAAACTGTAGGTCGGTACACTGACTACATGACTGCAAAGAGACACAGTAAACTGTAGGTCGGTACACTGACTACATGACTGCAAAGAGGCCCAGTAAACTGTAGGTCGGTACACTGACTACATGACTCCAAAGAGACACAGTAAACTATAGGTCGGTACACTGACTACATGACTGCAAAGAGGCCCAGTAAACTATAGGTCGGTACACTGACTACATGACTGCAAAGAGACACAGTAAACTGTAGGTCGGTACACTGACTACATGACTGCAAAGAGACACAGTAAACTATAGGTCGGTATACTGACTACATGACTGCAAAGAGGCCCAGTAAACTGTAGGTTGGTACGCTGACTACATGACTGCAAAGAGACACAGTAAACTGTGGGTCGGTACACTGAATACATGACTGCAAAGAGACACAGTAAACTGTAGGTCGGTACAATGACTACATGACTGCAAAGAGACACAGTAAACTGTAGGTCGGTACACTGACTACATGACTGTAATGAGACACAGTAAACTGTGGGTCGGTACACTGAATACATGACTGCAAAGAGACACAGTAAACTATAGGTCGGTACAATGACTACATGACTGCAAAGAGACACAGTAAACTGTAGATCGGTACACTGACTACATGACTGCAAAAGGCACAGTAAACTGTAGGTCGGTACACTGACTACATGACTGTAATGAGACAAAGTAAACTATTAGGCCAATACACTGACTTCATGACTGTAATGAGACAAAGTAAACTATTAGGCCAATACACTGACTACATGACTGCAAAGAGACACAGTAAACTGTAGGTCGGTACACTGACTACATGACTGTAATGAGACAAAGTAAACTATTAGGCCAATACACTGACTACATGACTGTAATGAGACAAAGTAAACTATTAGGCCAATACACTGACTACATGACTGTAATGAGACAAAGTAAACTATTAGGCCAATACACTGACTACATGACTGCAAAGAGACACAGTAAACTGTAGGTCGGTACAATGACTACATGACTGCAAAGAGACACAGTAAACTGTAGGTCGATACGCTGACTACATGACTGCAAAAGGCACAGTAAACTGTAGGTCGGTACGCTGACTACATGACTGCAAAGAGACACAGTAAACTGTAGGTCGGTACACTGACTACAGGACTGCAAAGAGGCCCAGTAAACTTTAGGTCAGTACACTGACTACATGACTGCAAAGAGGCCCAGTAAACTTTAGGTCAGTACACTGACTACATGACTGCAAAGAGACACAGTAAACTGTAGGTCGGTACACTGACTACATGACTGCAAAGAGACACAGTAAACTATAGGTCGGTACACTGACTACATGACTGCAAAGAGACACAGTAAACTGTAGGTCGGTACACTGACTACATGACTGCAAAGAGACACAGTAAACTGTAGGTCGGTACACTGACTACATGACTGCAAAGAGACACAGTAAACTATAGGTCGGTACACTGACTACATGACTGCAAAGAGACACAGTAAACTGTAGGTCGGTACACTGACTACATGACTGCAAAGAGACACAGTAAACTGTAGGTCGGTACACTGACTACATGACTGCAAAGAGACACAGTAAACTATAGGTCGGTACACTGACTACATGACTGCAAAGAGACACAGTAAACTGTGGGTCAGTACACTGACTACATGACTGCAAAGAGACACAGTAAACTGTAGGTCGGTACACTGACTACATGACTGCAAAGAGACACAGTAAACTATAGGTCGGTACACTGACTACATGACTGCAAAGAGACACAGTAAACTGTGGGTCGGTACACTGACTACATGACTGCAAAGAGACACAGTAAACTGTGGGTCAGTACACTGACTACATGACTGCAAAGAGACACAGTAAACTGTGGGTCAGTACACTGACTACATGACTGCAAAGAGACACAGTAAACTGTAGGTCGGTACACTGACTACATGACTGCAAAGAGACACAGTAAACTGTAGGTCGGTACACTGACTACATGACTGCAAAGAGACAAAGTAAACTGTAGGTCGGTACACAGACTACATGACTGCAAAGAGACACAGTAAACTGTAGGTCGGTACACTGACTACATGACTGCAAAGAGACACAGTAAACTGTAGGTCGGTACACTGACTACATGACTGCAAAGAGACACAGTAAACTGTAGGTCGGTACACTGACTACATGACTGCAAAGAGACACAGTAAACTGTAGGTCGGTACACTGACTACATGACTGCAAAGAGACACAGTAAACTGTAGGTCGGTACACTGACTACATGACTGCAAAGAGGCACAGTAAACTGTAGGTCGGTACACAGACTACATGACTGCAAAGAGACACAGTAAACTGTAGGTCGGTACACTGACTACATGACTGCAAAGAGGCCCAGTAAACTATAGGTCGGTACACAGACTACATGACTGCAAAGAGACACAGTAAACTATAGGTTGGTACACTGACTACATGACTGCAAAGAGACACAGTAAACTGTAGGTCGGTACACAGACTACATGACTGTGATGGGATATGGTAATCTGCAGGCCGGTACATGGTCCATTTGCCACTCTGGCTCGAATAGGTAAGTGTTTAATTTGCTACCATAGCTGACATCAGTAAACCTCAGCACCGTGTGCAGTTACCATAAATGTCTTGTTCAATCATCGGTGCAGGAGAAGCCAGGGCCAGGTTTACATGACCTGGACTGGACTTCCCCCTACCTACTCCCCCCCCCCCCCTTTTCCTACCCCTTTCCCCCGAGATTGTGTAGGAGGTAAACAGGTCAAAATAATTATGATCTCATAGTGGAGTTCTTCTTCTCTCAATCTAACATCCACAAATAATTAGTTCAGACGAAATGAAAACAAATATGAAACAAGGTAAAGTTTCTACACAGGGATAGTGCAGTCAGATGTAAGAACAATAGCAGATGTACCTACCAGTTGTAATGGTTGGAGAAGTCACAGCTGCAATGGAAAGAAGCAAAAAAAAAAAAAAAAAATGGCTGTTTAGGTATTAGATTTAAACAGACAATACATCCTGTAAAAGTTATTAGATACTGACGGAAAACAATAACAATTAAGGTAGAGGTGCTTACCACATATTTTCACTGGATGTAGTGATGCACAACATAATATGATATATTTCACTCTAAAACTAACTTCCCGGCGCCATCAAGAATAGTAAAGAAAACAAAAATGCTCGTGTCCTCTGCTTCATCCTTCGTGTCTCCATCAGTGGGGCATGTTTAGTCAGTGCCTATAACTGCACGTCAGTATCTGAACGTCCATATGCCGACGACGCTGCCTGGACAGAGGAAGCACATGTTTCCCTGAAAAACTTTGGTTTGACTAGTACGCTACCGCAGCATCAACTTCAGTCTTTATAACTGATTACAGACACCTTGTTGTTATTTATTTTTTCTATACACGGAACATTCGTTGCGGAAAGTGGCTCAAGGACAGTGAAATTAAATAAATGTTAAGTAAATGAATATATTTAAAATAAAACTGAACTAAAAACTTCAGCGTGTTAGGCTCTCATCTCACTCTCGTTACTGTGTAGACCTCTTCCAGAATGAAAGGCATTCAAGGGAATTAACTCCAGGGATGGTTAAATTTTAGAGATTTTACGTGAATGATCAGAAAAAACGTAGAAACCAAAACGCTTACAGCACAGCTGACCTGGGCATTGTAGCGGAAATGACAACTGCAAATGTTGCCGCCCACCCTCCTCCTTCATTTTTTTTATTATCATATTTTGTGAGCAAACTGGAAGACTATTACAGGCTTCAGGTATAAAGTGAGACAAGAGTGAAATATAATGTATTTTGTATTCCTTCAAGGTAGGTGTGTGTGTATATATATATATATATATATATATATATATATATATATATATATATATATATATATATATATATATTTTCTAATTCTAAGGAAATAACTTTAATGAACGTTAACTTTGAATGTGCGTTAATTTATTTTATAGTATCTAAATTGTGAGACTATTTTAGCAACGGATCAGACAGGTACCACTTCATCTTTTTAAGGACTAAATTTTTTGTTATCTGAAGCCCCACCCTGGCTTTTGCCAGGGGCCGCAATATAGGCAGGCCATAAATATGGCTAATTGCCTGAACGCGGTTTCTGGGACCCCTCCACGGTGATCCTCATCCACATGGTGGCACTTTGTGTCATTGGGTGTTTATCGCTTGTGTGATGTCCTGGTGGGGTAGAAAGTCAGTCAGTCAGTCATTTCAATTCTATGTCTAGTTTCGTCTATTTTAGTGTGACATGTTTTGTTATTTGAAGCCCCCAAAAATACACGCCATGAATGTGGTCATTTGTCTGAACGCGGTTTCTGGTACCTCTCCACGGCGATCCTTATCCACAGTGTGGCACTTTGTGTCATCTGGTGTTTATCGCTTGTGTGATGTCCTGGTGGCGTAGAAAGTCAGTCAGTCATTACAACTCTAGTCATCTCTTTTAAGGATGCAATAAGTTACAGTCATTTCCTTGTTAGATGCAATTTTTTGTTATTTGAAGCTGTACTCTGGCTTTTGACAGGGGCTGCTATATATCCCGGCCATAAATATGGTCTAATGGCTGAACATAGTTTCTGGGACCTCTCCACGGGGGATTCTTATCCACATGGTGGCACTTTGTGCCACTGGATGTTTATCACTTGTGTGATGTCCTAGTGGGGAAAAAAAAAAAAAAAAAAAGAGACACGATGAAGCAAGAGCTTCCACTGGAGGAGCTAGTGGAGTTATCACCATGGACGACTCTCTTCCTTTACACAGCACACAAATGAGTGTCCTGATGGCAAGGCCGCTGAACTTCAACCTTGTCAGTTAGTGACGTCATGAAAATAAAGCACATTTTCCACTCACTAAGGCGAATAGGGTATATAGTACAGGACCTATTATCACACCTTTAGGCATATTGGGCATATGTTTGAAGCTGAATTAAAAAGACCAAACAGCATTCGCATAGTTGTTAATTAACATCACGCTAAGTTGCCTTAACTTCCCAGGATTCTACCTTGTACCTAGTTGAGGCTAGGTAGACCTGAGAACCACGTTAAATTATTGAAATAAACTAAGTTTTCATAATAATATATTTTCATGAGTAGAAAAACTTTTTGTGATTAATTTGTTCCAGGGTTTCTTGGCAGTCTAAAGGGTGCTCACACATTTCGATATGCTTTTGCATTTTTTTTTTTAAATCCGAGAAAGCGTTCTTTGCCATAATTGCTACCTTTTGACAATCTTCCTGCAGCCTGTCTCACTACGCCATGATATACTTTCTTTGACTTCACAAGTCTTTTGTCTAGCACAACCATCACTACTCGATAGACTTATCAAAGATTTGGAACATTCAGAAGGCTATCAGGGATAAATTCATGCTGCAGTTTAGAACCTGTGCTACTTGATGAAGTTTACGTAGTCAATTAAGCAACATACCTTTTATGAAGACTGATCAAACTTATCCAGCCAGAACATTAACACTAAAATGGTTTATTAAAGTAGAGTGTCCAGTGAAGCACTACTGATTCTACAGTAGTTAATCGAGGTGAGATAGCAACTATAGCAACATTCGTAGTTGAGCGAGGTGAGATAGAAGCTATAGCAACATTCGTAGTTGAGCGAGGTGAGATAGCAGCTATAGCAACATTCGTAGTTGAGCGAGGTGAGATAGCAGCTATAGCAACATTCATAGTTGAGCGAGGTGACATAGCAGCTATAGCAACATTCATAGTTGAGCGAGGTGATATAGCAGCTATAGCAACATTCATAGTTGAGCGAGGTGAGATAGCAGCTATAGCAACATTCGTAGTTGAGCGAGGTGAGATAGCAGCTATAGCAACATTCGTAGTTGAGCGAGGTGAGATAGCAGCTATAGCAACATTCATAGTTGAGCGAGGTGAGATAGCAGCTATAGCAACATTCGTAGTTGAGCGAGGTGAGATAGCAGCTATAGCAACATTCGTAGTTAATCGAGGTGAGATAGCAGCTATAGCAACATTCGTAGTTGAGTGAGGTGAGATAGCAGCTATAGCAACATTCATAGTTAATCGAGGTGAGATAGCAACTACAGCAACATTCGCAGTTGAGCGAGGTGAGATAGCAGCTATAGCAACATTCGCAGTTGATCGAGGTGAGATAGCAGCTATAGCAACATTCGCAGTTGAGCGAGGTGAGATAGCAACTATAGCAACATTCGCAGTTGAGCGAGGTGAGATAGCAACTATAGCAACATTTGCAGTTGATCGAGGTGAGATAGCAGCTATAGCAACATTCGCAGTTGAGCGAGGTGAGATAGCAGCTATAGCAACATTCGCAGTTGAGCGAGGTGAGATAGCAGCTATAGCAACATTCGCAGTTGAGCGAGGTGAGATAGCTAGTGTAGTAACACATACGGTGTAGCAGTTTACCGAAATGAGTAGCCACTGTGGCAACATTAGTGCATCTCTAGTTGATCGGGGTGAGATGCCTACTGTTGCAACATGCATGCTACAGTAGTTCATGGAGGTGAGTTAGCAACTATAACAATATTCCTGAAAGAGTAGTTCGTGGTGAGGTAGTTACTGTTGCAACATGCATGCTACAGTTGTTCATGGAAGTGAGTTAGCAACTATAGCAATATTCCTGAAAGAGTAGTTCGCAGTGAGGTAGTTACTGTAGCAACATGCATGCTACAGTAGTTCAGGGAGGTGAGTTAGGAACTAAAGCAATATTCCTGAAAGAGTAGTTCGTGGTGAGGTAGTTACTGTAGCAACATGAATGCTACAGTAGTTCATGGAGGTGAGTTAGCAACTATAGCAACATTCCTGAAAGAGTAGTTCGTGGTGAGGTAGTTACTGTAGCAACATGCATGCTACAGTAGTTCATGAAGGTGAGTTAGCAACTATAGCAACATTCCTGAAAGAGTAGTTCGTGGTGAGGTAGTTACTGTAGCAACATGCATGCTACAGTAGTTCATGGAGGTGAGTTAGCAACTATAGCAACATTCCTGAAAGAGAGTTCGTGGTAAGGTAGTTACTGTAGCAACATGCATGCTACAGTAGTTCAGGGAGGTGAGTTAGCAACTATAGCAACATTCCTGAAAGAGAGTTCGTGGTAAGGTAGTTACTGTAGCAACATGCATGCTACAGTAGTTCATGGAGGTGAGTTAGCAACTATAACAATATTCCTGAAAGAGTAGTTCGTGGTGAGGTAGTTACTGTTGCAACATGCATGCTACAGTTGTTCATGGAAGTGAGTTAGCAACTATAGCAATATTCCTGAAAGAGTAGTTCGCAGTGAGGTAGTTACTGTAGCAACATGCATGCTACAGTAGTTCAGGGAGGTGAGTTAGGAACTAAAGCAATATTCCTGAAAGAGTAGTTCGTGGTGAGGTAGTTACTGTAGCAACATGCATGCTACAGTAGTTCATGGAGGTGAGTTAGCAACTATAGCAACATTCCTGAAAGAGTAGTTCGTGGTGAGGTAGTTACTGTAGCAACATGCATGCTACAGTAGTTCATGAAGGTGAGTTAGCAACTATAGCAACATTCCTGAAAGAGTAGTTCGTGGTGAGGTAGTTACTGTAGCAACATGCATGCTACAGTAGTTCATGGAGGTGAGTTAGCAACTATAGCAACATTCCTGAAAGAGAGTTCGTGGTAAGGTAGTTACTGTAGCAACATGCATGCTACAGTAGTTCAGGGAGGTGAGTTAGCAACTATAGCAACATTCCTGAAAGAGAGTTCGTGGTAGGGTAGTTACTGTAGCAACATGCATGCTACAGTAGTTCATTGAGGTGAGTTAGCAGCTATAGCAACATTCCTGAAAGAGAGTTCGTGGTAAGGTAGTTACTGTAGCAACATGCATGCTACAGTAGTTCATTGAGGTGAGTTAGCAGCTATAGCAACATTCCTGAAAGAGTAGTTCGTGGTGAGGTAGTTACTGTAGCAACATGCATGCTACAGTAGTTCATGAAGGTGAGTTAGGAACTAAAGCAATATTTCTGAAAGAGTAGTTCGTGGTGAGGTAGTTACTGTAGCAACATGCATGCTACAGTAGTTCATGAAGGTGAGTTAGCAACTATAGCAACATTCCTGAAAGAGTAGTTCGTGGTGAGGTAGTTACTGTAGCAACATGCATGCTACAGTAGTTCATGGAGGTGAGTTAGCAACTATAGCAACATTCCTGAAAGAGTAGTTCGTGGTGAGGTAGTTACTGTAGCAACATGCATGCTACAGTAGTTCATGGAGGTGAGTTAGCAACTATAGCAACATTCCTGAAAGAGAGTTCGTGGTAAGGTAGTTACTGTAGCAACATGCATGCTACAGTAGTTCAGGGAGGTGAGTTAGCAACTATAGCAACATTCCTGAAAGAGAGTTCGTGGTAAGGTGGTTACTGTAGCAACATGCATGCTACTGTAGTTCATGGAGGTGAGTTAGCAACTGTAGCAACATTCCTGAAAGAGAGTTCGTGGTAAGGTAGTTACTGTAGCAACATGCATGCTACAATATTTGATCGAGATGATTTAGCTGCTGTTGCAACAGTCACGAGCCAGCGATTATTTAAAGTCATGAACACTTTAACGCAGTTAAGCTCTCATGAAAACATTGCGCAAGCCATAAGTATGGTTCAATGGCTTTCGTTGCCAGCAAAACATCTGAGACAACCGAAATAAGCAACTGGATGGACTGCCCATTTCATATTGTCAATATATTGCTAGTTTCACCCAGTGAGGCTATAAAAAAAAATAATACTTTCGTATGCTTTACAGGACGTTGCAGAACCAAAAACAAAATACTTTTTTTTTTTAGCTGCTGTGGTTTTTCTAAGCAAATTTAAGTTCATTAGTTTGCCACTGCTTTCCAAACTGCCAACTCTCGGTATCACTGTCGAAATAAACGCAAGGCAAATCTTTTGCGGCTGGGATCAAACCCGGCACCTCGTGATTACAAAGCGCGTTCGCAACGCATATGTCAAATGATGTAGCAAAAATACACAAATACACAATATAATATACTTACTTGTGGTAGTGCTTGTAGTCGTGGTTGTAGTTATAACTGTATATATACAAAAGAAATGACGTACACTTGTCACTAGTTGCATATCAGTTACAAATACAAACTACATGATAGTCATAAATTGTATATTGCTATTAAGTTACAGGAAAAAACAAACTGGCTACTAAAGTACCAGGTAGTCTTGGAGTTAAACTTCACATTTCGAAAGATCTAACCATCAAAACTAACATCTATTAACAAATCTTAAAAGACAATTAACGAAGCATCAACACAAATAAACAACAAACTATCGAAATTCAGCCGACCATCTATGAAACAATGATTTTTATTCCCAGTTGGCCATAATCAGTCTAAGGTTAAAAGGAGGTAGATTATTCAGCCAAACATAAAGAGTTTTTAAATCGAAACACAGTTTATTCAACCAAGCAACTATTACGAGAACACCTAATTATGAGGTTTTCTCGAAAATTGAAAGAAAATAATGGAGATTACAATAATAGGAAAAGGATCTTATCTAGAAGACTTCTAAGCGATTTATAAGATTTATGAATATGTCTGGATCAGCAATGTATTTCCTATGACATAAGTATTGACTTGCTGGCAACACAAATTTGTTATCACCCCCCCCCCCCGCCACCATATTTATTTACCTGTGCGTCCCCACGATAAACTAATTGAACTGTAAGTAAAGGACCCCTTTCCTGGCATTCAGGCGTACTGTTCATATAGTGGTAGACCTTTATTTTATCAAAATGTCGGCAATCGATGGGTGATGTGGTCAACATCACTTCCCAGGTTGTTATCTAGTACCACACAAGCGGGTTCGACACGAAAGCCATGGCTATTTACGAAGGAAAAACTCCGACACTGTTTGGATCTAAACCCACTACTTTGGGATCCGCAGGCGAGCGTGAATTTAAGGATATAAAAATTACTTTGTGGACTTTTTCTAGTCTGCCCTGCCACAAGTGCTTTCAGATTAAATTTCCTGGAATAGTATGTTCTCTGTCATCCAGACAAAAAATACAATCGTAGATTTAACCATTAGTATGAGTGGGAGGGGCTGGGTAAGGGGAAAAGTTAGGTTGGGGGGGGGGATATATTAGAAACCGGGCTCACTAGGATACCAAACTGAGAATAAGAAAATCCAATCCAGTCATAAGGTATACAAACACTGACTGCATGGAACATACTAAGAAGCCATCACCAAAAAACACAAAGGCTAGTCTATACTAGAGCAGGTACACTTTTTATTAAATACGCCACAATTTCATTGGCTGAAGCCGCGAAAACGAACTTGTGAAACCCATACGAGGTTAAAAATATGAGTTTAAGAATAAAACACGGAGTAATGAAAAGCAACCCGTAGACAGTACTAATTACTGACTTCAAAAATCTGAAATGGCTTCCAAATAATTTACTGAACCGTAAATTTAATGAAAAAAAAAAAAAAAACTATCAAGAAAATGTACAAATCATTGTGCGAGGGAAGCTTGACTCAGCATGTAAATATAAAATACGACATAATGATATGTTATCGTATCAAAGACACTGATTACCCGACTATTCTTATCCAGTAAACTTCTGGAAGACCCAGGAAGTTTCCAAACAGAACAGAGTCAGACCAAAAAAAAAAAAAAAAAAAGCTTTTTTCACTTTAAATACTCAGAAATCAGTATCTCTCCAGTATTTGGGCACGTATGTTAACATGCGGTTCAGGCAAAGAAACCACAAAAAGAAGTTAGGAGAATCTACATTGCACACACTAACTGCAACACGGACGACACACTCAAAATAGACATTTGATGCTCCCACCAGCCTCAGCGCAGAGGCAGCAATTCCCTTTTAATTGAGGAGACAGACTCCAAGCACTCGAGTTGACCTAAATAAAATCTGTTCTGTTGACATACGTAAAATCATTCTTGCAAGCTATCTCGCGCTCTAAACAGGACAGCATAAACAGTTGTGTCACTAAAAAGGGAACGGTGGGGGGAAAAAAGATTTGAGAAACACTGGTCGAGACCAAGTGATTTATTCATAAGGGTGGTTATAATTCTTTTTTATTTCTGATGTCAAAATTGTTGGCCGAAGCTCTGTTGCTTTGATTTTGTTGTATTCAGATGCTTCGTTCTCTTATAGGAAAACTGAGAAGATGGATGACAAAATATTTTCTATTTAAGATAAACTTTGAGACATTTAGTCTTTCTTTTTTCAGTTTTGTCGTTCATTAATTTGTTGAATGGAAACACTTTTCTCTTTTCCTTCGGATTTGCTTATTACATAGGTCTCTTACTGAACCATTATATTGAGGGTTTGCGCTAGCTGTATAGCAGGCTATTACATTTTGGATAACTCTATATGTTCTTGCAAAAGTATATTCAGTACAATCGATAGTCTTCATTTGTAGCACTTGGTTAATAATGCACATTTTCTGCTTCTTTTCGTATGTGGCAGTTTTCATTGCTTTGTGCCCCTAATCTTCTGTACGTGACTAATTTTTATTGTCCTACATGTGGGATGCAGAGCTGCTTAACCACCGGCTTTGAGGCACGAGAAATATAGATCAGATCGTTCAAGACTATTCACAAATCTTCGCAGTCATCCTGGTTCCCTACTGGTTCATGGACAATGAATAAAGGGGGAGGGGGGAGGGGGGGGGGGAGGCACTTTTTCTTCCAAATCGGAGTAAATCGGCCTGGGAGGCAAGCAACTATATCAGGAAGAGGTCACCAATCGTTTGTCGGGAGATAGGATATTGCGCATGGACTGAAAGTCAGGGAGTCTTAGCAACTTTAACAATCATTTTCTAGAACCATCACGTGTTTATTAGCAGAGAGATGTTTTGCAATTGAATATCCTAGTTGTATAAATAGTATTGTTAAAGTGCCCTATCAAAGAGAGAGAAAGCGAGATAGAGAGATAGAGTGAGAAAGCGAGAGAGAGAGAGATAGAGATAGAGAGAGAGAGAGAGAGAGAGAGAGAGAGAGAGAGAGAGAGAGAGTTGACGCACTCGATTTATAGAAGTTCTGGAAGACTTCTAGAAGGCCAGCTGTCAATTCAGTTAGTATATTTAGTTGTAGAGCTATCTGACGGAATCGAGTCGCAATTAGAAAATCCTACGTGGAGAACATAGTAAACAAGTTTGAGCACACAAGAAATTTCTAGAAGAGTGGAAAACGCATTTCATACCAACAAATTAAGTAACAGAGCCTAGTAATGTGTAATAAACAATAACAATAGACACATAATGATGCCCTCACTTGAAAGAGAAAAATTATGTTGTACTAGCTGTGCCCTGCCACGCGTTGTTGTGGCTCTAAATGGTGAAATGGAAAAGAAAGAAAGTAGCTCTCAGCTAACAGTGTCTGTCATAACCCTCACTCCCTTCCCTCTCCCCTCCACCCAGTCATATCTCTCTCTCTTCGAAGGATTGAAAAATCATCCCTGGCGAAAGTATAAAAATAGAAATAGTTAGGAAATGAGAACTTGAAAATAATGTTTTAAGCTCTCTCAGCTAACAGTGTCTGGCATAACCCTCCCCCCCCCTCCCTTTTACCCCCTTTCCCAAATAAAATTTCCCTCTCCGAAGAAATAAAAAATCATCACTTGACGAAATTATTAAAATGGAAATAGTTAAGAAATGATAACTTAAAATTATTTTTTAAGGTCTCTCAGTTAACAGTGTCTGCTATCACCACCCCTCCCCAACCCCTTCCCCCACTAATCATATCATCCTCGCCGAAGGATAAGAAAGTCATCATCTGACGACATAATGTAACTAAATTGAGCTATGCATCCGTGTCCACCCAGAGAAAAAGAGATAGCATTAATGTGTACTGAGAAGTAAATGTGGTCAGTGTAACAGCTACCACATCACCTATCCAGTACCAGTACTACTGCTACCACTACCACCACTACCTTCAAAACAAAAAACAGTCACTACTGTCTGTGCAGGTCGGTGTAGCCAGAGGGGTTAGTACTGCATGATGTCACCATGGACTGTTTAGTGTAACTGAGCTCCCAAAAAAGAAAAATACTTTAAAAAAAAACACACACTCCATCACCTAACCAGTGATGGAACCCACAGTAATAGCCCATTCTATACTCACAAATAGCGAAAATAAAAACCCCCACCCGTCATCTCCCCTCTCCGAAGGACCTTGGCATCCGTGTCCACCCAAAGTAAACTGGACTGTAAGCCGTCTTAGTTAACAGCTTCTGTCATCAACGAATAGTTTATGATCGAGTGAAGCGTCGCGGGGAGGATAAATGGGACTTTACTAAAATCGGATGTCTTTGGGCGAAAGGTGCAGATATCGCAGCCTAGCTGTAAACCACAACACAACATGCCAACAGCCCTCTTGAGGAAAAAAAAAAATTAGCACCCTGTGGGTAATCGAACACCGGTCAACCGCTTGAAGGGCGGAATACTTAGAACTATGCTACCTAAGTCTGTAGAGGTTGGGTCTGATATCGCAGCCTAGCTGTAAAACACAACACAACTTGCCAACCGCCCTCTCAAGGGCGAACGAAGATTACCCGTGACTTGACCAACTTCACGTCGCCGCTATCACAGGCTAGCTGTAAACCCCCAAACCGAGAGGGGAAAAGCCGTATATATCGCAGCCTAGCTATAAACCACAACACAACAAGCCAGCCGCTTAGTTAGAGGCAAGACAAAAAATATCTAATCACTCAGCGGGGAATTGACGCCGGTCAAATATACAACTACGATACAAAGGACTCAAGCATCTGCCCAATTATATCTCCCTCTCCCAATGATTGAAACATTATTATGTGGCGACATTGTTTAAAAAGAAATAGTTCAGAAATGAGAACTGTAAAACAATGTTTTAAGCTCTCTCGGTTAACAGTGTCTGGCATCAATACTCCCCCCCCCCCCCCCCCCCCTTTTCCTCCCGTGACAAACATATCATCCTTTACGAAGTATGTGAAAGTCATCGCATTACGAAACATTGTTGTTAAATTGAGCTTGGCATCCTTGTCCACCCAGACAAAAGTGGGTAGCATTAATCTGT